TCATTTGTCCCATGGAGCCAGATCAGAGTCCTGGAGTCCTGGAAGACTCATGTCATTGGCACTGTGGTCAGAGGATCTCAGCTCCTGGGGGAGGGGTGCCCCATCCAGGGCAGAGGGACACCCAGGTGACCAGGTGCCCTGGCTCTAGCCCTGGGATCGAGCAGCACAGAGGTCACTCAGGCAAGGACAGGCACCCCCCAGCAGGCCGAGCTTCCTGCGCCAGGGGAGGGATAGGGAACGCTGGACCAGTCCTGGAGCAATGGGACTAGGGAGGACCCCACTAGCCAAGCCAGAAACTGGCCCAGCTAGGCTGCCTGCTCTGTTCACCAAGAGGCCTGGCACAAGTCTGGAGCCTGTGCCTCAGTTTCCTACCTATGAGTGGGGATGCCAAATAGAGGAGGTGTTATCAAGTGGCAAGTGTCTTCACCCTACACATGTGGAATCCACTCAGCCGGCCTGAAGACATCAGGTTAGCATATGGCTACAGCCTGGCTCAGAGAAGCCCACCAGCTCCACCCACTGGTTTCAGGCTAGATTCTGCAAGAGGGAAAGGGTAGGAAGAAAGGAGAAAAGCCCCCGATGGTTCCTGTCCCCGCGGACAGTGAGAAGCCTGGGCCAGAGGGAATCCAGGAGGAGAGAGACTGCCATTAGAAAGAGCTTGAGGTGCTCTTTCATTCTTTCTTCTTTTTTTTTTTTTTTTTTTAATGTATTTGTACAGGGTTTCACTAAGCAGCTCAGACTTGTAGTGATCCTCCTGTCTCAGCCTCCCCAGCACTGGGATTGCAGGTATGTGCCACCACTCCCGGTCTCCATGGCAGCTCAGATCACCCCAGGGGCAGGGCTGGCATGGCCTGTGGTTCTAGGGATATTGGTCCCTGCGCTTGCCTAAGCAGGTGCTTAATCTGCTGAGCTATCTTGCTGGCCCTAGATGCTCTTTCTTTTTTCTTTTTTTTTTAAGAACTAGGATTGAGCTCAGGCCCATGCACTTGCCAGGCAAGCGCTTGTTCTACTGAGCCATATCTCCGGCCCCCCGAGATGCTCTTTCTAATGGGCATCGATATCAGTGTGCAAGATGCACCACTTTAAGCAAACACGTGGGCCTTGAAAAGCCCACCAGCACATGAGATGAGAGGAGGAGAGCCGGCATCGCCTGAACTGCACCTGGACTGAGCAGGCTCAACCCTGAACGCAGGGCCATCTCTGCAGGGGTTAGGTGTGGGTCTCTGTTCCCATGGGCCCGCCCTGTGGACCCTGAGTACTTGATACTCTTTCCTGGGTGTTGGGATGGCCCAGAGCACACCTCAGTCTGGCTCTGCTGGCACCTACGGCAGACACAGGGTGGATGTGCGGCACAGCAGCACTGAGAGAATGAGGAAGGAGGAGACACTTGCAGGCCTCAGAGCAGCAGGCCGAGCTTCCTGCGCCAGGGCTGTGCAAGCCCCGACAACACGTGCCAGCCTGCCAGGCTGCACCTCCAGCTTCTGTGACCCGTGGACAGACGTGGGCCACAGGGACCTGCAGGCCCTGGAAGATTCTGAGGAGTGAGGGTCCCTGCCGAGGCTGCAGTGGGGAGCTGGCTGCTTGCGACTGACAGGTGTAGCAGTAGCAGTTGCCCCAGGGGAGAGCACTCTGGGAGGAGCTCTGGCTGAGAAACGACTGGGCCATGTTTGGTGACAGCTGTGGTGGTCCACAAGACACTCATCCTTTGGGCAAAGGCCTGGGAACACTTTGTGGGCTTTCGGCCACCACACTGGGTGCCCACCCATGGGCCAGTGGCCTGACTGAGCCTGCACAGCACCCAGCATACTGGCCAGGTGGGGAGGTCACAGCAGCTGAGGGCAGACGCCCCGCTCCACAGGGTCCAAGTCTACATGGGAGCGGGGCCCTAGTGTGGCTGGCTGGAGGCCCCGTCCCAGATGGTGTCCTGCTCATCCCAGCTCCCCCGCGGGCCACCCCCACCTGCCTCCTTGTCCCCACTGCGGCCCCCGCTGCCACTGCCCGAGGTGGGAAAGTCTAAACCTGTTGCTGTTTTCCCACTGTTATCAAGCCTTATCTGCCATTCCATACATGGAGCCCAGGGTCTCCCTCCTGGCAGGGCCCGCCCAGCATGCCCTCGTCCCCATCCTTCCTCCCCCAGTCAAGGATATGGCATTCAGATGGTGACAGTGACTATCTCACCCCGAGGCTGCTCCACAACCACCAGCTGGCCTGGTCATGACATGCCCCTTGAGTGGCACCTCCATTTTCTACAAGGAAACTTGGTATGGAGAGGAGCGGCTGTCCTGGCCTTCCCCACTCTTTCTCCACCCTAATGCAGGAAGATTCCCCACCCCAGCTCCCTCCTTTAGGGATCCCCCAAGGGTACCCTTACCTGTTTCTTTTTTTTTTTTTTTAACCTGTTTCTTCTTGAGGGGCAGGCATTGGCCCTTGGGCCTGGCACACTGAGGGCTTGGGCAAGGTTTAATGAGTGAATAAGTGAGTGAAGAGGGCACTGGGGGAGCCAATGGAAAGGTGGGTGAGAGAATAGGTGGGGTTCAGAGCTGCCACTGCCCATGTCTTGCTTGCAAACGAGTGGAAGGGACCCCTGAAGGGTCCATGAAGACTCTGTGCTGAGCAGAGCTGGGGACTGCAGGGAGCTCACCAGGAGCTGGGGATGCCAGTCCTGGACTTCAGCCACAGGAACCACAGGGCAGTGTCAGCCCCACAACCATCCTGGCGGGGAGGGGCGGGGGTGGGAATGGGGACAGGATGAGGGAGCGGGATGAGCCTGCTGCGCAGAGCTGTCTCCATAATTCAGTTTTAAAGCATGAAAAAAGGGAGTTGATGAAATTCCGCTATCAGCGCCAAGCCAATATGCAAACTATCTCACCCCCAATCAAATAGCTATTATGTTTTCATTTCCATCCCGGCGTCCGGCTTAATGAGCAGGAGATGGATGGGCGCGCGGCGTCTGCTCCGTGCGATAACCAAGGGGCCCTGGGTACCATGGGGGGCCGCGCCTGGTGATGCCCCTGCTGCGGGTAATGTCATGGTGGCCTTGAACCCTGGCAGGTATGTGACCTCCAGCACCAGCCCACCCCACCAGATTCCCAGGGAGGGGCAGGCCGACCCATCCAGGGGTGTGGGAACAGTGTGCATCAGAGACGGGTGCGGCATTGCTCCAAGTCTCCTGGTAGCAGGGTCAGTCTACCGTAGCAGACCTCAGTTCATCCAGTGGATGTGACTCAGGCCCCCTTGGGGCTGGATGTTTCCTGGGCTGTGGGGCTCATGTTGTGACTAGCCTTCAGGTCTAGCTCCACATACGTCCCCACTTCCTCACATGCTGAAGCATCACTTGGCGCTGACCCTGTGTGCCTCAGCTTCCCTGTTTGGGTGGCGCCTGGGAAAGAACCTCACAGGACTGTGTGAGCATGGGTGTAGGGAGGATGTTTCATGGTGCAGAGCCCAGGCCCAAGCACGGCTCATACCCTCCCCAGCCCCTGCCGTGCTAGACCGTGAGTAGCAATAGATGGTGTTTGTGGAGCGGCCCAGGGAGCCCACATAGCTGCTGGGACCCTGTGCACAGAGAGGCGTATAGCTTGCCCACAAACCCATGAGGGAGACCCAAGGGTGTCGGTCTGCCTTCAGGTGTGGAGGTCTCTTCTGAGTGAAGTCCCCAGCAGCCAGTCTTTCCTAGGACAGGCACTGGAAAGCAGAACATCCAGCCATGGTGGGCAGACTCTCCAGGCACTTAGGGCCCACAAGACAGCTGGACCAGATACTGAGGTGCAGCAGACTGGCACAGCCCTGATTCCACAGGCACAGGTGACAGATCCCACAACCGTGTCCTGGGAGGAACCCGTCATGTGCGGCCGCGCCTGCAATTGTCTCTGCATTATCGAAGATGTTGTAATTGTGCTGGAACGGAATTAGCAGCTCAGAATAAACCCCCCGCATAGGGCCGGGGGCCTTTTTCTCCATGCTTATTGTCAGCATTGTGCAGAGTTTGTGCCTTTGTTCTTTTGAATGGGGGACCCTTGGTGTCTGGGGCCCACTTGGGTGGGCACTGGGCCAGCCCCTGCCTGGGCTCTGGAGGCCTGGGGTTTCCCAGGGCTATGCCTACCACCAGGAGGCCTGGCATTGTCTAGGGCTATGCCCTCTGCATCCTCAGGGCAGCAGGAGGCAGTTGGCACCTGCCCAGGGATGGTACTTTGGTGACGGCAGCCCATCCATCCACCCAAGGCCACAGGTGTGCAAACCAGCAGAAGCAGAGTTTCCACCCCATTTAGAAGGCTTTGGAGGGAGACTTCTGGGAGTTGGGTCACAGCCCCACTTGCCCAGCCTGGTCCCTTGTGGGCTCTTGGATGTGCTGCAGCAGGTCCAACCCAGAAGGTAGATGTGATCCAGCCCTGACCAGGCCATGGCTCTCTGTTCACACCATTGACTTCTCTGTCCTGTGTAGGCCAAGTTGGCATCACACCACTTGGGCAGCAATTCTTGGGTTGGAGCCACATGTCCCATCCCAGTCCACCCATCTCCTGCAAGGCCAGCCCTGGTCTTGCATCCTCAGTCTCCAAGGGCACCAGCCAAGCTGACCGCAACTCACCCGTCTCCACCACTCCTTTCACTGCTGCTCCCTCCCATGCCTGGGGATCTCGGGGGCACTAAGGAGACAGGGTCCGGTGGTGGCCAGGGAGGTGCCTCTCCCTCCCTGGCATCGGGCTCCATAGACTCAGGAGTGTAGGCCTCTGGGGTGGGAACAGGCCACGCTGCCCCCTGGGCCTGGGGCCCATACTGATGGGCAGGGATATCCCCATGCTTTCATTGGGACTGGGCAGGCAGGAGGGACATGAGGAGGAACTCCTCGTCCTAGTAGACATGGTGCTGGTGCCAGGGCTCAGAGCACAGCGAGGAGAGCAAGCCTGTGGCCGGGGCTGCGCCCTGGCAGATCAGGCCTGATGCACACGTCAGCTGTGGCCATGCCCGAAGCCCTCATGGCTCCGCCTGGGCTGTGTCCACAGGTTCTCCTGGAGACATGGAAGTTTTGGAGGAGGCCCAAGCCCCAGACACCAGCCTACAGGAGAAGGAGACTCCCACACCAGAGCCCACAGCTGTAGGGAGACCTGAGCCCCTGAGCCCATCCAGTAGAGGTGAGTAAGTCACTGCCCTTGTCCTTAGGCCCTGTCCCTGGCCAGGGCAATACAGGAACCCTTGCACACGTGGCCCTAGTATAGGCGAAGAGACGGAGATGCAGAGGAGGAGGACCCAGGATGGAACCAAAGGAGGTAGTGTGACCAGTATAACCCACAGCACCCACACCCGAGGCCGGGGTGACCATAGAGACCAAGTATCCATACTGCTCATGACAGTGTTGTCTTTCTGAGATTGCCATGGTCCCCCACGTACACTGTTACTTGGTGCTCTGCTGCTTAGGCGATGCTGGTGTGACCCATCTCACACGCCATCACTGCCCAGGCTTTGCCCAGTGCAAACACAGCTCTGGGCCCTTTGGCCTGCCCCCTGGGCCCCTGTGGCCCCAGGCTCTCCCTGGTGGCAGTATTTCTTCCCTGAGGGTGGGCTTGGGTGGAGACCTACACACTTGGGGAGGAGCCATGGGCTCTGGGAGGCTTGTTCAAGCCAGGTCTCCTGGGTAACAGGAGGAGGGGGCAGAGGTAATGAGAATCAGTGTCCCATCCTGGCCCCATACGGCAGTGATCTCAGCCCACGTGGACCCAAGACACTGTCATAGCTCTGACCTGGGGGGGGGGGGTGTCGATGGCTCCAGGCTACTGGGAGGCTGCCTGGCAAGCAGCAGTGACCCTGAACAAAGGAGAGGCAGGCAGTGACCCTAAGATTCCCCAGGACCTGCAGTCATCTGTGCCAAAACACTGTGGGCAAAGGAAGAGGCCGAAGGACAGCCAGGGCAAGGAGGACCAAGTAGACTATGGGAGGCCTGAAAGGGGTGAGGGTGACTTCAGGTAAACTGCCAGGTGGGAGGCATGCATGGACAAAGTTTCCAGACAGACTGAGGCCTGGTAGGTTGGGGCCTCACTGTTCGACACCCTCACACCTCCTGGTCTTTTTTTTTTTTTTTTTAATTTAGGACATGGTGTACAGGGTCTCACTGCATAGATCAGACTTGTAGTGATTCTTCTGTTTACAGCCTCCTAGGTCCTGGGATTACGGGCATGAGCCACACTCCCAGTCTCATGCACCCCAGGGGCAGGGTGGGACCAGCACAGCAGGCCAGGGGATTGAATTCCCGGCCCCTGCATACACCTCCTGGTCTGAGAGTCCTAGCCCTACCTGATGGCTGCAGGAGGAGCCCCCACCTCATCTCTCAGAGCCATGCTATTAGCCTGCCAGCCTTGACCATCCTCAGAGCCTTGGGGAGTGGATGGGGCAGACACTTGTACCCTAGTTCACTAGAGCCATAGGACAGCAGTGCCAGCATGGGAGTTTGGTCACAGCCAAGTGTCCATTATTGCTGCTATCTCTGTGGCCATCGAACTGCAGGGCTTATGCAGCCAGCTTGCCTAGACAATTTGCTGACTTCTCTGGGTCTTGGGCTTCGCCACCATGTGCCAGGTGGTGGGATGAGGACTCTTTAGGCACCTAGAGGCCCTGCAGACACCTGGGCATTGTTGTGCCATCCGGTGCTGTGCTAATGGAGGGCCTGGCTCAAGCTGCCAAAGGGCAAGTGCTCGCCGGTGGACTCTGACCCGTGGCTTCCTGGGGAGCTGCGCCCTTATCTGATCTTGGAGCTGGGCTGCACAGGGGTGGGTGGGGCCAGGACAGGCTGGAGAAAACAGCCTGGGCTGCACCTGGCACCGGCCGTGGTGATAGCGTGGTGATGGGCACGATAAGGCGCAGCAGCGTATCTGCACTCAGGCGGGCCCAGCACGGCTGCTCCCGGTGGCTAGAGCTCAAATGCCAGCCACTTTGATTTATGGCCAAAAATAATAGGACTTTATATTGTGTGATTGATTTATTTGATGTTAATCATGGCCCTTATCAAGGGTATTAATAATCTGCTGGGCGCATGACGTCATGGGGGGCTTTATAGGAGCGCATCGATTGGGGGCCTCAGTGGTTATCAGCCCGCTCAGAAGGCAAATATGCCCTTTGGGCTAGAATTGGGTGCAGGGCCGGCAGAGGGGCCCTGCTGCCGCAAAGACCAGGAGCAGCGTGCCACTGCCCCAGCACACCTGGTAGCTGTCTCACACAAGGTGCAACAGCAGCTAGAACCGCCATCATCACTACTGCTGTCCACAGGGTGGCTGAGGATATGTAAAGGCTGCAAGGAAAATTGGGATTTCTCCCCTGCTTCCCTCCTATGAGAGCCAGCCGGGGTGCGGTGACAGGCCCTGATCTGCACCCTAGGCCTCAATTTGGGGACAGAAGGAAGACCACTTGACTCCTGGAAGCTCAGGGATGTGACAGTGTTTTCCTCTCTGCAGATGTGAATCCACCCCCAGCACCAACGGTGCCAACACCAGCACACCTCGCATCCCGGGGACCCCCCGAGGAGATGGAGGGGCCAGAGCCTGAGATGCAGCCTCTGGAGGAGACAGCCAGCCCTTGGAGTGGGCCAGGTAACCAGCATGGGGTCCACCAGCACCATCTGCCTCCCAGGGCAGCCGGGCTCAGTGCCGGGCCTACTGGGAGCAGGGCCACTCAGGGTGCTAGGGTCACCAGAGACCTCAGGGCTTGGCCTGTCCCTAAGTCTTATCAGCCTTTGTGGAGACTACATGGTCAGCTGTTGGCAGGAGGCAGTCACCAGCACGGCCATGCTCAGAGTAGGATCCTGCCCTGAGTGGTACAGCAGAAGTGTTTAGAAGGTTCCCAAAGGCAGGGTGTGCCCAGCTGGGACTGAGGAGCAAGCAGAAATGTCTGACGTGGCATCCCTAGGGGCCATGGGAGTGCTTGTCTGGAGCTCCCAACTCCCCTGGCAGTGGGTCAGGCTCCCAACAGAGTGGGCCCTAGGCAGCACAGGAGGGTACAGGCCATGTCAGGGCACTGTAGCCCCCTGCCTGACAGGTTGGCTGCAAGCCATTGTGGGAAATCTAAGGGCAGCTTGGAGCCCAAATGTATCCTCCCTGTGGCCACCCCTTCTAGGGCTGACCCCTCTACTTGAAAGCTAAGGAAGTGGGTTGGGGTTGTTGCTGGTTTTCCTGATAATAAATTTACCGAAGCCCAGGAACTGATGTGGGCAGCACCATGTAGAGGAGCTGGTGCAGTCCTTGGCCAAGGCAGGTGGAGCAGAGGCTGAGCGCGCAGGTCGGGCCCATGTGTGCACACAGCAAGCACTTCATGAGGACCAGCGTCATACAATGCAGAGTCCTGTGAGTCTATGTCCGCAAGGAACAAGGGCCTCCCTTGTTGGAGACCAGGAAAGGCTTTACCAAGGCAGGGGAGCCCTGTTCTGTGCTGGGAGCATGCAAAGGGTGTAGAGTTGGCCTCCAAGCAGCCACAGGGCTTGCTAATGGGACTGTGGGACCGGGGAGCAGTGCTGGGCAGGGTCTGTGGTGGCTGCGTGGCTGCATGGCTATGTGGGAGACTGGGTGGCCCCAGCTACCTCAGCTGGAGAGGGAGGGGCAGGTTACAGTGGCCACAGCCAGGATGAGGGCCCCATGCTGTGCAGAGGGGGAGCTACTGGAGTACAGCCTCCTGGATACTTTCTCAGCACCACAGACTCTGGGGCACTCTCATCCAGGGCCCTGGGGACAGTTGGTGTGGCTGCAGGATGCCTCTGCCCCTAGGGGGTACCCCCCATGGGCCTGGGGCTCTGCTGTCCTTGCTGTGAGGAGAGGGCTCTTCCCTGGAGCAAGACAACATGTTCAGACTGCTTGGCTTCTACCCAGCCCTATGTTGACTCAGCTGCCACCTCTGCAGAGAGGATAGCAAGGTGGCTTCAGCCCTGGGCCCATTCTCCACCGTCTAACAACTGCTGCTTGTGGTGAGGACCATGTGTGCCTGTGGCACCAGGCTGGTGGGGTGCAAGGCGGATGCAGTGCCGTCTGCACTCTGGATGAGGAGACCCTGGCTCCCAGCAAGAGCTAAGTGCACACTCCCCAACAGAAATGCACCTGAGATGTAAGAGTTAGTGTCCATCTACCTGTTGGTGCCCATCCAGGTCCTGGTCCTCAACCTCCTGCCTCAGAGGGGACACTTGGGCTTGGGCCTGACCTTGTGGCAGCTCAGCCATGGTCTGGGGTAGGGGCACCCCCACTTCCTGCACTATCTGTGACTGAGAGATGCCCGTCAGTACCCACAGATAGAAATTTCTGTGCAGTGGGCAGTAAGGGTTCGATAGGCAGCCGCCGGCCAACCGCCACACCAGCCATAGCCTATCAGGCCCCGCACAGCCGCACTTATCGCAGGGGAAGCTGAAGGCCCAGCAGTATTATCTCTGAGGGGCCACTGTGCCAGTGATGGGTGTCAGAGCTTCTTAGGGCTTCAGGGTAGTGCCTGCTTGGTAGCCAGGGCACAGCAGGGCCTGGCCACTCTCTTCTGATGTTTCTCCCTGGGCTCCTGGGCTTAGCTGTCCTGGGCTCCCCTCTTCTGTGAGCACCACCCCACCTGTTTCCACATCCCTCCGTTGAGGGGTAAACACAGACCTGGCCAGGGGACCTCACCTGGGAGATGCTACACCTCCCATTTGGGGGGCTGGAGGGGTTGGCTCAGGGAAGGGCTTGGCACTCAGTTTCCTTTCTGTCCCAGCTTAGCTTGTGAGGTGCCCTGGCCATACTGGCTGCCCCTGCTCACCATGTTGGTCACCATCTGCTGGGGGGACGCAGCCCACTGTGTCCTCGGACCCTATCATGCCCAGGCCCATCTCTCGGGGCGGGCCACAGCTTAGTTTCCTGGGAGCTGGGACTGGGGCAGGTGGCCATGAGGGCATGCTGGAAGGACCTGTGGGACAGCAGGCAGAAAGGAGGCATCACAGCCCCCTCCTCACCCAGATACCCCAGAGGCCTCCATTCACCTCATACATACAAGGGCCTTGCAGACACTTGGGTGACCCACCTGCCACCTAGCAACCCCCCCAAAAAAAGATGGGGTGATGCTTACTGTGTTTTTCTTCTCATGAGTTCACTGCTAGCAGCTTTGCACTGAATGTCACTGCCTGCACCAAGAGCTCCACGCTAGTCCAAGAGGCAGGAGCACAGGCCTGACACCACCACCTCCCCTCTGTGGCAAGGCCAAGAGCAGAGCTGGGGGCCTCAGCCATGTCATCCCCTCCTGGGGTGGGGCAGCGGTCCCTCTGGGTAGGGTACAGGCAGGGAAGGTCACAAACTCCACAGGAGCCATGTGTGCCCAGTGCGCCTCAGCCCCCATGCAGGACCAGCCAGGAGGAGCCACTGTAGGTAGCCTCGTGCCATCCTCCAGGGGACAGAGGCAGCAGCCGTCCTGTCTGTGGATGAAGGGCCTCGGGGAGAGGAGCAGGCTGGTTGTCTCGGGGGCAGGACAGCCACAGCTAAAGGAACCTGGATTTGCAGGGAACCCCAAGGTGTAGGAGGGGCAGTTCCAGGTCTCTATGGACTCCAGCCTGACTCTGCAGAGGAGGCCACGTGGGGGACAGAAAGGCTATGTTCCTGTGTTCTGCAGGGTGGTGATGGCCACTGTAGGGAGGGCAGAGCAGGCTGAGCTGCCATCCCTTCATCTCCCGTGAACTCCCAGCCCAGATTCTGGTTGGGAGAGAGATACACAGGAGGAGCTGAGTTTATCTTTGAAATGACCTTGCGCTAAAGGCAGGCTACTTAGCATTCTGATATGCAAATGGAGGCATAGTCTCCATCCCCACACAGGCTCCTGGCTCCTGGGGGGCAAGCACTGCCTCACATAGTGGCTGGCATCACCAATTTGGACCACGCCCAGTACCTCAGTACCTGTGTCCTGTTCCCTCCACCCCTGTTTAAGTCAGAAGGCAGTGACTGCCAGGCAGACATGCCACCCAGACACGGAGGGTCCTGTCCCAAATAGGGTCCTGGCCTGTCCACGTGTCATGGGGGTGTCTGTCCAGGGGCAACAATCTGGTGGAAGAAGCTGAGGCCACCCTCCACCTACACAAGGCTGCACAGAAGTGGATGGACTGGGGACTCTGCTGGCCCAAGTCTCCCCCAGCTGTCTGTCCAAATTGCAGATGGGAGGGTGGCCTGGGGCTCAGCGGAACCATGGCTGTCACTGTGTGTGCTGCCCCTGTAGTTTCAGTGGCCTGAGGGGAGAGGGTGTAGGATGAGTATCCATGGAGGGGTGTCCCCAGAGCCCCCTCACCATCTGCATTGTTCCAGAACGAACTCAGAAGACAGAGCCTGAAGTGTGGGCAGGGTTCAGCCCCATTTGCCCCTCCCATTGCGGCACTGTGGGTGTCCCTCCTGATCCAGGCCACCATGCTGGCCACCCCAGGCGGGGTAAAGGTCTCCATCCCAGAATTCTCTGGTGGTGAGGAGGCATGGTAACACTGCCTGAGCACCCTGACAGGCCGTGGGAAGGCATGCAATGGGCTGTCCCCTGTGCAGGCTTCAGGCCACGTCCACTCAGAGCAGGGGAGACAGTGGAGGAGGCTGGCCCTGCCCAGCCCAGAGACCCAGCCAGGGTAGTTGTGGAAACAGGCCCCAGGACAGTGAAGCAGGATGTGTGGGGCTCCGATGTACACCTATGACCACAGCCACCCTTTCCGGAGGGCCCTCTTGGGTGTTTAGGAAGGGGCCAGACCTGGCTCCAGGGACAAGCAAGGCCCTGGAGTACCTGGGTTGGCAAGACAGGGAGTCACTGTCTCTCCAGAGCACCTTGGACCTGGGACTGCCTCCTGTGTCACTAGGACAACAGGAGAGCTGATCTCAAGCACGGGAGCAAGGACAGGAAAGCTATTGTGCCAAGGCCCTGCGGTCAGCAGAGGCGTCACCCCTGTGTCAGGGTCAGGAGTGAGAGATGGCCAAGTGGCCCTCTATTGGGGACAACCCTAGATCTAACAGGCAGAGCCCCAGAGGTAGGGGGGATGAGTGGTGACCCAAAGGCAGGGTCCTGGAGGCTGAACGCTGTTGCGGGGCCCTCGGGTGGTGTCCAGGGCCGGGCTAGGCGCCATGAGCTATGTGCTAGAGCTCGTATTTGTCAAATTGGCCGTGCTGGGGGTCTGACCCGGGGCCTGCACATGCTAGGCAAGGGCTCCTTCAGCCACTCCCCACCGGAGGCCTCCTCATCTTGGCTGTGAAGCACGGAACCTGAGGCTTTGGGGATGCTGGGCCAGCTGCCCGGGAGAGTGGGACATCCAGGGGTGAGGGCAAGGGGGCTGGGCGGAGGTGGTCCTCAGCCCAGTCCCCTCCTGTGGGCTCTGTGGGCTTGGGGAGCCTCCGCTGTGGCCAGGCGCAGGCGCGGGCTGGTTATCTGGGCCATGCCCGTCGGACTAATCTTGCAGGCCTGAGTTTCCACATGGACCTCAAGGCTGATTATCAGCGGCTGAGGTAGGGCGCTTGTCCAGATGGACAGCCCAGGAGATGGGCCGATAGTGGCTGCTGTGTGGGTGGGAAAAATCATTTCAGCTATTTTATGTTATCGCAGCCTGGCGTGGCCCATGGTGGGCCTATTTGTCTTA